TTTTCTCGGTACGCATTTGACTACAGGGAGTAGTAATTTTACAGCCCCTGCTTGAGACTGAGCTGCATATACGGTACGGTACTACAAGATTCAAATAACTTCGAGAAAAAGTCATTTCGCATTGCTAAGGCCGATTCCACACTACGCCGAAAGTGGCTTTGCCTTGAAGGCATAAAGTGGCTTATAAAGTGAAGCTGCATTCACACCTACACGTGTCGATCACGGGACTTTGCTTTGAAGGTTAGACTGTGAGGCTTTCCTGTACTTGATCTAGCAACGGCGGTACAGGTAGTGGAGATCGAGAGGCTCTTTGTTGGTAGAAATCCTCGAATATCACCCATTTTCGCGTGCCAAATCTTGAAATTTGACCACGCTGTGTAGGCGGATTCCAGATCATAGGTCGAATATTTTGTCAACCTCGCCAACAGGCATTCCGGTGGCAGTTTTCTTTGTGTACGTCTCGTACAGTCCTTTCGCCTTCGTTTTCATGTTGTCGATTTTGGAATGGACGATCGACGCAGTAAAGATTGCCTCCTCCCGGAGCTGTTCAGCAAACAAATTCAGCTTGATGGCGATCTCCTCCGGCGTAGCTCCTGCGAACTGTACCGCCCGGAGGTCGCCTCAAATGTCCGTTCCAAAGCTCGATCAGCTTGCCCTCAAGCTCCTGGCTAAACATGACCCTAGGCATTGTTGACAGCTCACAACTCACCAGAACTGAAAGATACGACAGGAAACAAATTCGGAAAAATCGAAAGGCTGAAGAAAAGTCAGAAAAGTGTCCTGAAAAAGTAAAAAGTTGCCTTGAAAGAGGGTGCTGGTGTTGCTTTGTAGACAAGCACTTTTCACTTTCGCGCGTTTCTCAAAGTGATTGCCATGGCAACTTGCCTGAAAAGTGCCTGAAAATGGCTTTTTAGACAGGATTTGGTGTAGTGTGGAATCGGCCTAAACCTCACAAGTTTTCTTTTTCGAAACAGATTTTCGCGAAATATCACCACCACAAAAAGTTCGAATTTTCGCATTGCTAAACGTCCTTAGTGTCTGTGCAAACGCAAAATGCAGCTACGAAAGAGCAGTGATAAGAAGAACAAAGTCATTGGTCTAACAAGGGTACTGTACCTGAACGAAAGGAGAGCATTAATTTTCTTTCAGCAATGGATATCTTGAGCTCCAAAGGTTCTGGCCGCAAACCATCCGAACGGTACGAGAGCGGTACGGTGTTTGTAAACTACAAGCTGATACGAGTGGCGCACCCGCAGGGCAAACTTAGTGTTCGCAATAGCAAGCGGTATAACACACCATGTTCTCTACAAAACAGAAAGAACGCTCTCTTTAGTAGGTACCGTAGTATGGTTGTGCTTGTAGAAACGGTAGCTGGCTAGTGTGAGGAACAAAGTGGTCAAGTAGGACACCAGAATCCCCTAATGACATAAGGGAGATAGTTGGTTGGTTGGTTTTTATTTCAGTCAACCAAGGAAATGCTCACCTCGTGGAAAATGTAAAAGAAGAATCCAGGAGTTTTCCAATGCCACACTGCGCATGCGCACCGAGCCCCTCGATACACTCATTGGCAGCAAAGAAAAAGAGCAAGACAACTGAAGACAACACCGAATCATTACAGGGCAGTATTTCAATTATTACAGCCAACCAGGACAAAGAAGTAATGTTTCGTTATGCTGGCAGGAAGATTCCCATAACGCGTAAAAGAAGCAAGGCCGGTGAAGAATACAGAACACGTGGTGAAGGAGATGAATTCCAAGTTAGTTTTACCTTCTTTGCTTGCCGGGGTGCTCCAGTGGAGAGACTTGCCGACAATACGCAATAGTTGAAATCTTTCAAAATAAGCCTCCTGACTGTATCTCATCTTTGCTCTGTATACACCTATCAAATGCTAGCCGGGATATACAGTGTTTCGGAATAGCGTCAAACTTTAGCAATTGGAGAAGGACATTACGTGCTTCCTTCCAAACAACAACAACGACGAATGGAACGTGTTCACGATCTGCAAGTGTTAGTTGATTCAACACGGCGCGGCCTCGCTTGCGAGCGAAAGCAGCTGCTAGCAAAGTTCGAGTGTGAACCTTGACCTCACCCAGCCTACGATTCTCGCAAGCGTCCAACGGCACTGGCTCATCCCAGTCTAGCAGTAGACCTCATACAGTCATAGCCGCGTGTTCTAACACCAGTAACAGTAACAGTGATTCTACACTCCCTTCATCATGTACAGTGCTCGCTAATGCTCCATCATGTAGATCTACAGACAGTGCTTGCTAATGCTCCATCATGTAGATCTACAGTGCTTGCTAATGTATGAGGAAGAACATCGCGGTCTGGTAACAGTAGGTGTGAACTTTGGAATGGGGCGATCAGCGACGGACACGTCGACGCGTCGTTAGGACGTGGCACAGCGCACGACCGGCCGGTCGACCGCCTGTACAGGGAATGCCACGAGACAACAACAACAACAACTACCGGTACAGCAGTTACTACATACCGTATTTCCACAAATAGAAGGCCGGTCTACTATTTTTTCAACCTCGTCCTAACCCGACCTTATAATCGAGGACGGTCTTGTATTCGAGGACGGTCTTTTATTCTTTCAACCCAGTTTGACCCCCCCCCCCCCCCCCCGGTCTTCTATTTCTCGCCACACAGTTTTACCCCCGTTCTTCCATTTTCTTCTACACAGTTTGAGCACGGTCTTCTATTTTTTCCCACAGTTGGAGCACGGTCTTCTATTTTTAACACAAGAACAAAGACTCATTTAGTAGGCCCGGTCTTCTAATCGGAGACGGTCTTTTATTTTTTCAATCGCCCCCTGCCCCGGCCTTGTATACGAGGAAGGCGTCGTATACGAGGACGGCCTTTTATTTGCGGAAATACGGTATACCTGCTTGAGTCGATTGCTCGTCTGCTAGCACTATATGCAGACCGCAGACAAACAAACTACTTTTAGAAGATTCTAGAATGTGGCGGGCAGTAGGCAGTACGCCAGCAGACTGGGCTCATTACCGACATCCGTAGATCTCTACACCTCGAGCGATGCGGCCCGATCGACCGAATAGTTATCGCTGACTCGTCGAAACATAACCCTGCGGAGGCGCCTAGGATCAACTGAGTAGCTATCAAGTATCATCGAAACGCAAGCCATGCAGGGATCAGCTGGCACACGAAGGAATGAAAATCAGTCGTGATCTGCTCTTCCTAAAACGCAACACTAATGCTTTATCTGTTTATCAAAGACACAAGACAGTATGGAAACGTCCAGGAGTCCATCCAACTCGCCACAGCGCCTATACATCCATGCTTTCCGATCTCGTCACGCAATACAGCAACACAGCGGCAGGCTGCTATCACAGAAAACCTTAACCCTGATATACGCTTTGCAGCTCACACGTGCGGCATTCTGAACTGTCTTGCCAATATTGTCTGTGAAAGTAGGATTTTGGGATTTGCCACATCCGTGGTAATATCCGAAGAAGGTGGCTGCTCCTCATGAGCTCAGGATGGAACTCTCGCTTCCGACACTTGACTGACGTGCGACCTCACGAGATGCACACGAGAAGCACGTCGAACCTTCCAATCGGCAAGCTGGCAAGAAGCACCCTCCCGCTGATTACACAGTGCCGGGGCAAGTAGTTGAGTTTTGAAGCGTTTCACAGCTTTCAAGCTTGTGCTTGTAGACAGAAGCACAATCATGCAGTTGGGCGTAGATCTACGAGCTGCCCAGGCCTCACCACCACTGCCGTTTCTGTGCTGCCATCTCTATACATACGTATGTAGTCTACATTGTATAGTATAGTGTATATGTGCATATTCACATGGCCTTAGGTTTGTGGTTTTCAAAAAAGAGAAAAAAAGAAAGCTGAATTCATGGAAAGAAAGCCCTGGTGAGACTCACTACAAATAATTCACTGTGGCATTCGTCGAATGATGAAGTCTTGTGCATACCGGTACTGAAAATGTAGATCTACATTATAACGTGTAGCAGATGTTATAGGCTGAATTCTTTCTCATCCTGCACGAGGGGTTTCGGTCTTGATGTGATCTCGACATCTCGTCAGCGTACATGACCAACAAAGAGGCACTTCCAACAATCCTTGGCCAAACACACTTGCCCAAAGGTCGATGCACACAAACGTTCGTTTGGGTAACTTTTAGAATTTGCGGTGGAGAGATACACAAAACTGAAGCCAGAGCCGATGTACCTATTCCATGACGTACATGTATGACGTATGTGGGAATTACCTGTCGGTAGTAGGTCTACATGATTGTACATGTACATATATTGAAATTTCACTTTAAAGTATCATCAAGAGTCCATCAAGACTGTTTATGGACTCTTGGTATCATGTATCAAGCATGCATATGTAGTGTCTACTACGTGTAGCATCATGACCATGCATGATGACCCCCTTTTCATTGGCTAGAGCCACGTGATTGTGAATAAATAAAATTAATAAAATTAATGACTTTTAAAAGTCTTTCAAGAGTAGATCCCGACGTGAGCCGCATGTCACTCGCGTTGTTTCCGTTGTACAAGCTGGCCCTGGCCTGATACAATCATGTAGATGGTAGAATCTACGTGCGACTCCTTTCTAATTCTTTGTACAGCGTTTTTATGGGCAAGAAATTAGTTACTTGTGTAGTAGATCTACGCATTAGAGAGTTTACGCTTCACGTTCTTTCAACTTCCAACGTGAGAAAAAACGTGCATTGAAACGCTTTTTTCCACTGTGAGTTGGCTAGTGTGTAGATCTACCGGTAGTAGATCTAATACTACGTAGTAGCTCTGTACTGTCGCGTTGAAATCTCACGTTGTAACGTGAGGTGCGCTATTTTGGCCGTAAGATCTCACGTTTAAAATGGAAAAAACGTGAAATGTAAAATCGGTAGCTCACCAACGCACATGGCCGGTGGTTAGTACTGGTTACCGTTGCCTTGTTACATCCATGTTTGTACATGACATTTTTTACTGGCAACACATTGCAGATTAGTTTTTCTTGGGGTGGTGCCGGTAGGCGGCAGATCGGTTTGTTTCCCCTCGGCGCAGTAGCTGGCCACCCACACTAGCCCCAGTAGCCTGCTTGATGGTTTGAGTAGCGGACAAGGTCAATCGTCATGGCGGCCTCTGCGAACGGAGATCTCCTGCGCGACCTGGGCCTACCTTACCAATCCGTTGTCGACCTTGGCAATGTTGCAGTCGATCCCAACCAAGAACTCGGACGAGGCTCGGATGCTGCTGTGTATCGTGTCCAATGGCATGGCGTAGATATCGCACTCAAAGTCCTCCACGGTCTGCTCATTCAGCCGGGTAATGTTGGTCGTCGAGAACTCATTCTTCGCTTTGGTCAGGAAATACTACGATTGTCGAAGCTCCACCACCCGAATTTGTGCCAACTGGTGGGCATTGCTCGGGTCGGTCACTCGCCGGCTCTAGCGGTGGAGTTGTTGGAGCGAACACTGGAGCAATGTAGTATCGGAGATGGCAGAGAGCCAGAGCCTCAGCTGTTGTCTTATCTTGCTGATACAGCAGCTGCACTGCGCTACCTGCACTCCTTGCGAATTATACATCGTGACTTGGCTCCCAAGAACATCTTGGTGCGCAATGGAGTTGCGAAAGTATGTGATTTCGGCGTGGCACGCTGCTTACACCCCGAAGGACCTCGCCAGGAGCTGCAAGAAGCAGCAAGGATGACAGCGTGCCCAGGTACGATGTTGTTCATGCCGCCCGAAGCACTGCTTGAACGAGCGGAGTATGATGAAGCTTTAGATATCTTCTCCTTCGGTGTATGTCTGCTGAGCGTATGGACAGGCAAACTGCCGTCAACGGAATTGTTCATTGCTGACCGAAACAGAACTGTTGTACAGGCGGACGGTAGGAGTCGACGAGAGCCTATTCCTGAGTTTGAGCGCAGGAGTTTTGACCTGGAGCTCATGGCGGAGGGTCACCCTCTGAAGCCGACGGTTCTTCGTTGCCTGCGGAACCAGGCATGCGACCGTCCTACAGCTGAGGAGATTCACGATGTTGTCAAGTCAGCTGCTCGTCTAGCTAGCGATATGAATTCAGTAAGTACAATCTGTAGTGATTTCAGGCTCCGCTGCATAACGAACGTAGACTCTACTCTGAATGAAAACAACGCAGTGAGCATGTTTTCATGCCCCTCATGAGAAGTTGCCGCAGAGGTCCTGTACAATCTACAAGTCTTGTCTTCAAAAGTAAGAAAATGGTCATTGGTGTCAACTTACGGTTGTATAAAGAGACTTGTTTTTCAACCATGGGAGAACACAGGATCTGGTAGGGTTGTGTGTGTGTGTGGGGGGGGGGGGGTGGAGATGTACTGGTCCCACAGAGATACTGTAGCCGTACGATTAGTGCCACTGGGCTGGGGCACTATTCTTCAATGTCCATCACAGATGGGGCACTATTCAAGAGAGGGCACTATTTTTCAATGCTGGTACATTTACGTCATCCCGCATAAAAACAAAGAAGGCAAAGAAAAAGAGAGGCTAAAGTTTACTGTAAACTTTCACGACTCAATAAGGACTGTGATTTTTATCTGATACCACCAGTTCAATGACATAGACACGGATTTTACCAAAAGAACACAAAACGTGCACATGCGCTTGGTTACAAGCCCGGGGGGGGGGGGACTACTGAAGAGGGGAAGTATTGTTTTCACTGGCTCTTAGAGACTGGGGCACTATTCAAGAGAGGGCCTGAGTCGCGTGAGTACCGAATGGCACGTTTTGCGGCTTGGGTGCATGCATTGCGTGAACCCATGTCAAGATGTTTTGAGGGGGGGGGGGGGGGGGGGGGTGGTTGCGCACCCGCAGTACACTTTACATTTGGTTACATTGGTGTGGAACTGAATTTCAGACGCCCAACAAATGTAGAGACTGGAAAGATTCAAGCAAAGCAGTATGGTAAATTATTGTTTTGAGTGTAAAGCCTGGTTCACACTAGGCCTACTGTAAATATACAGCAATTCGGCAGCTATTTGATTTCGCCTATACTCGGTACCGACTCAAAACTCCAAAATTAAAGCACTGATGAAAATTTCTATTCGGCTTTGGTGTTGTACTAGTATTAACCCCGTGCCGAAAATAAACCAATGCTGAAATGTCGAAAATCGTGAAATGCCCGAATTTTGCAGCGCCGAAACTTTGTACATTTACAGTAGTTTTCCGCCACTGACTTCGACCTGAAATCGGCCGACTGTGTTGGACGAGTCGAACTACCTGTTCACACGCAACGGCGAACGAGTTTGCCCATACATGTAGGTCTGTCTATGCACACGTGCACTTGGTACATAGCTCTGCTAGATAGTGCCAGACGCTTGAGCAGAACTGAGATCTTTTTACACGAGCCACAGAACCAAAATGCTGGAAAGGCTGGCGTCTACAGTCCATTCATAAAAAGAGGGACTTCTAGCTTTTGGCCATAAATGATTCAAACTTTGAATTTTTTTAGCATTTTTCTGCAATCCCCTATGCAATCCTCTTCCATTTTTGTTTCTGAAGTCTATTTCTCCAAAAAGAAAGCCCTAACAAGAAAATGATTTTGGCCAGGTTTTGCCCCAAAAGCACTGAATTGGGAGAAACCATAAAAATCCAGGCCGTTTGACCCCGCCTGCAACAGAACACTGTACGGTTCGAACCCCAGTTCAGGTGCCCTTTTTGGACCTTTTTCCAATTTCCAATTTTGCAGCACTGCATTGTGTACGATAAAATCATGAAAAATCACCAAATACGGGAGCTCGCCAGAGCCAGAGACCATCTTTTTAAGAATGGACTGTAGTAGCGATCCAGTGCAGCCAGTTTACGATCTGCACCGACGCTCCCTGCTGTCACGGTGAAAAGCCGTCAGTGATTGGTTGGAGGTACGCTTCACCAGGTGCAAGCGCGGCAAATTTGGTCAAATATTGAGCAGTCGATGCTTGTCAGGGAAGGGGCGCTCCGCGGAGCCGGTGGTCCTGTTTAGAGAAAGAAATAGAGTTTTCATGGAATAGTCCAGCCTCATTTGTGCTGCAATAATGACCCCTCCACTGACAAGCAACAGAACAGCGATCAACTCCCACACCTAAAACCTTCAGATCCCATTACTGTACATGAGCCTGGAGTCGAAGAGTCGTGCACGTAGTTCAAAGAGGCTGCACTCTTCTCCAATTAAGCAGTGTTTGAAATAAGCCATGTTCATACCAAAATCACTGTGTGGCAGTGCGACAGAGTCAAAACGAGTCGGCATTGAACAACGTTAGTGCTAAATTTCAGTGCACTCGCAGAAAATCTTCCCGATTTGGCCGACTATGCTTTCCAGAAACCAGATAATAACGAAATCGTACTTTCGTGGTCCTGTTGTGGAGGTTGTGTCCTGTCTGTAGGTTATACAAAATGCACCTTGTACAGACATTGCACACTGTGCTCCATTTACCTTGAACCTCTACACAAGTACATGCTGAGCATGACCATTCACTACGGTTCTCACATCGACACACCGTGCACACACCTCTTTTTGCACTCTGCAATACAGTTCTCGTTTCCCCGGCTGTAAAATCAAGATGGTGCATTCTTGAGAGACGGGGTGCTCTTGCAGTACTTAACGGCACACATGGTTGTTGATTCTGTGCACCATGTGCATGCATCTCTTTCCAATTTTCTAGATGCTGTTCGTCTGCTTTTATGAACTCTATATTTTCACTGTTCCATGTATCCCCTTGTCTTCTACAGCCGCGGCGTGATCCCGTTTCCATGGCTACAGTCCTGTCTCAAATGAGTACACTCCTGAAGCATGTTCAAGAACAGCAGACAGCGATAGCTGAACTAGCAGCTAGGCAAGAGGAGACAAGGCTTCATGTTGCGGGCGTCAACGATCGTGTTGTCGCTATGGGCAGGGCGATGAACTCTGTTACTGGTAATGAATACGTAGCCGCCATTAGCCGACAGGTAAGAGACCTCGACGGTTCCTTGTCGATTTCCTTTCTTTCTCATTTCATTCTCTGCTAATCAGATTTTCAACTGGGAGTCTATTTGTGCATGCTTGTGACCTACTAGTGATCCGCAGATGGACACTGATGCTTTCAAGGGTTGGGGCTTTGAGCTCGAGAGTACATTTCAACCGAGCATTGGATGTACCCAACATTGATACGGGGTGCACGATAACTCATCAGCTGTTCTAGCTGGCTTAGGTACAGGGTGCGGCAGCAGTGTCTAGGCAGCAGGCTGATGCTGCGACGGACTCCTATCCAGAAGACGCACACTTTGCTTTCTATGAACGTGTAGGATCAAGCAGTGCAGGCTCTGTGTGCAAACATCTATACAGATCAGCCAAGGTGACTTGCGAGTACGCAAGGCCGTCACAGCCGGGGCGGCTGGGGCGGCTGAGGCCGCCCCCTCAGCCGCCCCACTTTTTCTGCCGTTTAATTATTTATTTTTGCAGCACACTGCAACAAAGTGCGATGATTACAGCTCAGCGCGAACAAGAATCCTTGTCCCCGATCGTGGTTTATTGCAGAATCAAAAAGTCTTTCATTGCAGTTACACTGAAATGGCACCAAATGCCTGAAAATGCTTGCAACTGGCTTCAATTTTTGAATTTTTTCCCAGGGGAGGATAATGAAGAAGCCTTGTCACCGATCGTGGCGTCTTCTTGGTTTGTTGCAGAATCAAAACATCTTTCCCTGTAGTTACACTGAAATGGCACCAAATGCCAGGAAATGCTTGCGATGGGCTTCAATTTTTGAATTTTTTCCGGGGAGGCCTCCATGGCTGCCCCACCTCCAAAGTCGGTGTGACGGGCCTGGTACACTCATACATCGCTCATCCGGGCGATCAGGGACCTGCCACTGCCCATAACTTTGAATTGTCCTTAAAACTCTGCAGTGAACTTTGCACTACACACTGCAATATATAGTGGCATAATGGCATAGAGGCATATATTGCATTGTGACTGTGACTTCCAGTGGCCTCTTTATTGAGTCTCAGTTTGCCCTTCATGACAATGTGTCCTCGTGCTGTTCATGTTACTGCTGGTGGTGATGGGGCTGGTGTTGGTTGTGGTGCTGGTGGTGGTGATGGTGGTGGTGATGATGGTGGTGGTGATGGTGGTGGTGATGGTGGTGCAGGTGTCCAGTGGTGCTGGTGGTGGTGGTGGTGGTGGTGATGCTGGTGATGGGTCTGGTGTTGGTTGTGGTGCTGGTGGTGGTGAGGGTGGTGGTGATGGTGGTGGTGGTGATGGGGCTGGTGTTGGTGTACCAATTTTGCTTTTGATGTAGCTGGTTCTGATCCTGGTTCTGGTTCTGGTTCTGGAGCTGTTTTTTTTACGAGAAACCACGAACCTCGAGAACAGAATACTGCATGATAGAGGTGGTTGCAGACGAGACTGCTGTTGGTGGTGATGTTCGTGGTGGTGGTGCTACTGCTGCTGCTGGTAGTGGTAATGTTCGTGGTGGTAGTGGTGACGATCGTGGTGGTGGTGGTGGTGCTGCTGCTGCTGCTGCTGGTGGTAGTGGTAGTGGTAGTGGTGGTGCTGGCAGTGCTGGATAGTATAGAGTTTCTGCTGAACAGAACTACGTATCAAACTCCGGGTCAACCGCAGTGAAGTTTGACACGGGATATTTTGTACGTTGCACTGGTTCTGGTGTACGTGGCGCATGGAGTACATGTGTACTTTCCGCCACATTTGCTCTTTCTCTGTGCGTTGGTTATGCTCAAAGTGCTTGCAACCGTCATAGCTTTCCATACCAAGACCAGTCTGTGTGAAGCGCGCTCCATGCGGAGAATGGTGTGAAAATATCCGTGTTAAACTTGATCTCGAACCCCGGCGAAGAGTCCATGCGTGCTTTTGTACGTTTTACCGTGTACTGCAAGTCGACAAATTTCAGCCCATTCAAATTTCGGCCTCCCAGGGCTAAAACCCATTTCGGCCCATTCAAATTTTCGGCCTGTACTGCTGCCACCTGAATACACTGTCACACTGAACCTTGCAAAACGAAATTTCGGCCGCAACAAATTTTTGGCCAAACATGTCCAGGCCGAAAATAGTTGAAAAATAGATATGCGCCGACTGTTTGTTGACTCACAGTAGCAGAAACTCTCTAATGCCGGTGGTGTTGATGCTGGTTCTGGTGGTACTGCATTTGTTTTTGCTGTTGCTGTTGCTGGTGCCACAACCGATGGTGCTTGTGCTGGTGGTCCTGCTGATGCTACCGGCTACATGCATTTTCCTTACCCTTTAGATTGTTTTTGCATCGTCTCCATCGCTTACATTGTTTAATAAAGTAATCCAAATGTCACTTCAGCTCGTCCTACTTATTGCCATATTGTGTTTTCCACTCTACTGTTGTTTGAAATGTTCACAGATACAGTCTCTGAACCAGAGATTTGCTGATACCGACGAGCGAGTTCGCACAATCGATGAGCGGGGCAGCCGAATGGAGCAGAGAATCTCGGCTATCGACAGTCGCAGTTTGGACATGGAGCAGAGAGTTGCAGCGGTGGGCGATCGTAGTGCCAATATCGAGCAGAGAGTTGTGACTATCGACAATCGCAGTTCAGGCATGGATCAGAGAATTACGGCTATCGACAATCGCAGTTCAGACATGGAGCGAAGAGTTGTAGCGGTGGACGATCGAAGTGCAAATATAGAGCAGAGAGTTACGGCTATTGACAATCGCAGTTCAGGAATGGATCAGAAGGCTGCAGAGCTGGGCGACAGCAGCGCACGAATAGAACCGCAAGTTGCAGCTGTGGACAAATGCAGCACAAGAGTGGAGCAGGGTGTTGCGCCTATCTATGATCGCGCTAACAGCATAGAGCAACAGTTGGCTGAGGTGATCGATGGTGTGTCTGCGTTGAATCAAAAGGTATGCAATGTAATTCACACGCGAGTGTTCATCAGCATATCTGGGATGTTCTTTATCAACATTGGTTGATTATGGAAAGATCTCCTCCGTTCTTGACCTCATCCCTTGTTCAGCTGTGAAACAACAGTCTATGTGTAATCTCTATCTTCTCTCTCGCACATGCACACACGCCCAAAATTCTAGACTGACAACTTGCTTGCTAAATCACGCACTTGCTGTCAGGTGTATCACATCGGTTGTAGAGTTCCAATGTTTTAGGCTGTATTGTCTTTCGAAATGAACAATTCTCCCTCTCTCTCTCTCTCTCTCTCTCTCTCTCTCTCTCTCTCTCTCTCTCTCTCTCTCTCTCTCTCTCTCTCGCGTGTGCGCGCGCGCGCGCGTGTGTGTGTGTGTGTGTGTGTGTGTGTGTGTGTGTGTGTGTGTGTGTGTGTGTGTGTGTGTGCACTGTTCTATCACAGCCCGTAGTGCCACCGACACAATCCGAGGCGACAAGTGACTCAGACCCATTCTCTCCTGGACAGGACCAGGTAAGACGGATGACTAGGAGTGGCTAGGGAGCATGCGGATGCATGTAGTTAAATATTACTGAAGTAAATGCTAGTGGTGTGCACGGTTAGTCGGGTACCCGTGCTACCCGTGATGACCTCGGGTAGACGGGTACAGAATTGTACCCGAAAACCCGAAGTCGCAGATGACATCACGTGTACAAATGCATGTAATACTCCGCATGTCTACCCAGTGTGTGAGGGAAGGGGTGCATTGTGGTGTTGCCATGGAAACAATACCCGATCGCATACCCGTGCTACCCGTGGAAAACTATCCGAACCCGATATCCGAAGAAAATGCTACCCGACTCGGCTACCGTATAGTACCGTGAAAGCTCCCCACCATCTCGTCCTTTCGTGGTGGTATTGTAGAGGCGGTCTCCTGTCTGTAGGTCATACGACACAAACATTGTACACACATTGCACGCTGTGCTGTCAATCCATGCTCAATTTACCTTCGTTAGGACAAGAGCTCCACAAAAAACTTAATGTGACCTTAGTATGTTAAGGTTCACCAACTGTAAAACCTCTGTTGCACTCGGCCATATGATTATCCTTTCCCTGGATGTAAAATCAAGGCGGGGCGCTAGTCTCGCGGTACTTTACGGTACTACCCTTGTCAATGTACCATGAGCTATGAGGTCATTGTCCCTCAGACAGAGACAGAGATTAAGGGTGCGGCCAGGGATCCTATTCAAGGAGGGTGTCACGAAATATTTTCCAAAGAAGTACATACGGTGTACACGCTCTTTTAAAAGCTCTTTCATGCTCTCTCTCTCTCTCTCCCACACTCTGTCTTCCTGTCTTTCACTCTCCCGTTCTGTGTCGCTCTCTCTTTCTCCCTGTCTTCCTCTCCCTTTCCTTCTCTCACACTGTTTGTTCTATGACAGCCCCCAGCATCACCTACTAAATCTGAGGCCCCAAGCCACGGTGACCCTGAACCCTTCTCTTCAAGACAGATACAGGTAAGTAGGATGACTAGTAACAAATAGGATTCTTGCTGATATTTGTTGTTACGAGACGTCAGCTAATTAACTACTTACTTCCTCTTAGTCCTTCACACACTCTCTCTCTCTATCTTGCTGTCTTCCTCTTGTTTTTCTCTTGTTCTCTCTCTGCCTTTCTCTCTCTCCCTTTCTGCCTCTGGTTCTCTGTCTCGCTGTCTATTTCTCCATCTTTCTTCAACCCTGCTCTATTTCAGCTTGCAGCAATATCTACACAAGCGGATGCTGCAAGTGACTCGGACACCCCCTTCATCAGACAGGTACAGGTTGTGCTTGCAGTTTCATTTAGTTTGTATTGGATTACAGTCAACTTTGCTTATAACGACAGTCGGTGGGGCATCAAAAAAGTGTCCTTATTCGCGAATTGTCGTTATACCCGAAGTCTCATATGTATTACAGTTGGATGGGACTTTGCTCTGGGCATGGACATTCTGTCGTTATTCGCGAATTGTCGTTATATCTGCAGTCGTTATTAGCCAAGTTGACTGTACCACTTCCCTTGCGCCATTAGCTATGAGATGAATCCTTTAATCCCACACTGTTGATACTGTTAGGTTCACGATTTCACATATGCACGCACTCGCACACTCGTACGCACTCGCACCCTCGAACTCACCTTTACAGGCGCGCACTCACTTTCACTCTCGTACTCACCTTTTCGGGCGCGCACTCACTTTCACTCTCGTACTCACCTTTTCGGGCGCGCACTCACTTTCACTCTCGTACTCACCTTTACAGGCGCGAACTCACCTTTTCGGGCGCGCACTTACCTTTACTCTCGTACTCACCTTTACAGGCACGAACTCACCTTTTCGGGCGCGCACTCACATTCACTTTCGTACTCACCTTTTTCAGGCGCGCACTCGACGTACTCACCTTCACAGCCTCGTACTCACCCTTGTTGCTTTTCCTAATCTTTTCTTTCTTTGGCCTGGGTAGCTGGACTCGCGCTTTAGCACATTTATCTCCATAGCTACCCAGGCCCTAGATAAGCTCTTGCTGGAACATTTGCTCTCCCCCTTCTACCCCCTTCTAGCCTTGTCTAGCCTTGTCCTGCTTGCTTTGCCTGGTCTTCGTCTTGCTTGCCTTACCTTATCCTATACCGAACCTCTGAGATTCCTTGTCGTTGTCGACTTGATCCGATCGTCTAATTGTGACTGTGCCGGTCCTAACATTGGCGCCCAACGTGGGGCTCGAACCCACGACCCTGAGATTAAGAGTCTCATGCTCTACCGACTGAGTGCATATCCTTCTGCGACGTCGGAAGTAATCGACGACATCGCAAAAGAAGCGTTTATCGATGCTTTAGATCCGCCAATTAAAGATAAAGTAATCGAACTAGCACGAGACTATGGCTTGTGTCGAAACAACATAGAAGCACGATCACTTGGCAAGTTCACGGCTCTTTTTCAGAGGCCACAAGGGTAGTTGACAATTTTGCTTTGTTGCAGGGGTTTTCCATGAAACTCACCGCATGACCAAGAGGTTGGGGAAGAACAGGTTACCATGGATACACAGGACTCATCTACAAGTAACCCAAACACAACCGAAAACATCAAAAATTCATTTTCTTATCATACGAAGGAACAGGTGGTATGTGTTAACAATTTTCAGTGCTGCTAAAGACAGATTTTGAGACTATGAACATTCTCCCATCGAATGCATAGCTTAGGCCTACCACCCCCAACAATTGAACTATAAGGGGAGGGGGGGGGGGGGGTGATGGGTTCCTCTTTTCTATAATGTCCAGCTCACCCATTTCTATCATCTTTACCGGATCCCATGCAACCTTTCATCCTCTTTCAAATATACTTGATGCAGCGGAAACGCACGTTCACTGAATCAACCTCGATTCACCTCTAATTTCACAATTCTAGTGGGCCGTCCGTATATTTGGTCCCCTGTGGACAATTTGTGTAGTTTTGTGCTTCCTGCAAACATTAATGCAAGAAAGAAAGAAAAATCACTGATTGTATGTCGCACTCGATTATAAGTCGCACTCCTATTTCCAGGTCTATGTCCTAATCGCTTCCATACATTCACTTCAGTAATGATCATGCTCGATTGTAAGTCACACCCCCGTTGTTGGCCCTGAAGTTGAGTGTAAAAATGTGCGACTTATATTCGGGGAAATACAGTACTAGCAGGAGTGTACAAACACCAAAGCTACAGTGCAGTGTCTTAGTGGCAACACCAGAGCTACAGTGCAGTGTCTTAGTGGCAACACCAGAATCCCGACGTAAGTCGTCTGGCCTCAGCCATTTCTCTCTCTTTGCTCGTAACAAGTTGAGTATTGTCTGCTCAGCGCCTTGAGTTTTTTTGTTCTGCTATTTTGAACGGGTGAATGCACCTAGTCATGATCTCTCTCTCTCTCTCTCCCTCTCTCTATCTCTCTATCTCTCTCTCTCTCTCTCTCTCTCTCTCTCCCTGTTCTTTTACTTGTTGTACTGTTCCATTACAGTTCAGAACAGCAGCTGGGCAGGCGGCAGGGACGAGGCACTCTGATCGTTCATCTGGCAGAAAATCGAAGAAGCTGCGGAAGGCCCCATCTCCGCCTTCCCCAGCTGCCACAGATATGGTACGTCCCCATGCGGCAACACACTTGTCACACAGCAACAGGCTTAACTTGTTAGTTTGAAACTGTCCACCTCTCCACACAGCGCTCTTGGCCCACTGTTTCAAGTTATTTTCAAATGGTTAAGTCCATCGCTACTTGTGAGTTGTATGAGTAGTCCCCATTTTGTTAGGGCGGGGGCGTGTGCCTACCATGAAACTTGCCCGGCACAATACTACGTATAAGCTACAACAAGAACAGGCCAAGACAAGGCTGGAAAAGACAGTACAAGATAGGACTAGACTTAGAAATGAAATAGGACGGAAATGAGTGTCAGGATACGTGCATGCGCAAAGCAAGGCACATTGACGCAGCAGTCACACACGCATGATGAAGTTGGTTCCTCCTATTTGGAACACACGCTTCCTGCCAAATATTACACTCGACTGACTCACAACTGCCATTCGGAGTACATGAGGAGCACGGCAGGAATCGTGTGTTCTACAACCAACTTCGTCATTAATACCGCCAAAGTCGCTACTTCATGGCAGCTGTACGCGGAACACTGCAACAATACAATGATTATGGCGTAATGCTGGTAGGGAGGGTGGGGGGGGGGGGGGGGAAAGGAGGGGGAGTTTGAGGGTACTACCACAGGGGTATGACACGCATACTAGCACACGTGTTCCTATGTCAGAATGTAAATGTTTAGGGGAGGCTTGATCAAATCAGCCACCTCCCACAAGAGCACATCACTATGATCCCTGCCGCTGTGTATAAAGGTAGCTGACTGATTTTGATAATCTCTACTTGATCTCGAGCCTTCCCAAGCTACCCTTCTCTTTTATCCACTCTCCCCAATAAGTAATAGTTATCTGTCTCTTTGTCTCTCTGTCTCTTTGCCTCTGTCTGTCTCTTTTCCTCTGTCTCTATCTCTTTCTCTGTCTCTCTCCGTCTCTGTCTCTCTTTCTCCGTCTCTTTGTCTCTCTCTCTCTCTGTCTGTGTCTGTGTCTCTCCTACACTGCTCTAATACAGTTTGTCGTAGTAGCTTCACAAGCTGGAGCCACAAGTGGCACTGACCCTCTCTCTAGGAGACAGGCAGAGGTAAGGAGAGTGACTAGCACGGCTGGGGTTCTTGCTAACACATGTGTAGTTACTTCCTCCGTTAACAAAAACTTAGTGATGGGTTTTGATGGATTTGAAATCGCTTAGAACAGGCCAAGAGCAGTTTGTATCGACTGCAAATCAGTGGACGAAGGTAGTTCAGCCAATGTACAGCGTCTTTACAAGAGAAACTGTTGGCGGAATGAGCAGAGAGTTCAGTTTGCGTCGCTTTCGCTCGACTCATCTTTGACCCTGCGTCGCTGTCGTCATCTGCAGCACGCGAGTCGTCATCTCTCTGGAGTCGTTGTTCAGCTCGTTTCAGCCTTGCCTCGGCTTCTTTGATCACACTCCGCTGAACTTGATGTCGCTGTGGCTCAAGTAAGTTGGCTTTCAAGCTGCGTGATCCGCCGCGGTGGCGATTACTCGTTTCCACCACAGAGTTCAACAGTTGTAAAAATATTTTACGACTCCCTGGTTTCATCTCCGCTCTCCAGAACACCGCGAAACGAGGAGTGAAGGCACAGCCAAAGGGATTCCATTTTCTCTGATGGATACTCTTGCCAGCACTGAACGGCAGCGGCTGGGAAGTCCAGTCGACTTTCCTTAGCCAAGAGACTCGCGTCGGACTGCAGACTTCTGAAAGTACGTATGGTCATCAGCATTCGAATCTGGGCTTTGCGCAGGTTGAACAAGAACTTGAATTCAAATGTATTTCATTGCGCCGTGCGATCGGAGCAGCTCCTTGTTCACTCGCTCAGAGTGGGGGGTCGCTGCTCCGTTTCAGCAGTCTCTATCACTCTCAAACTCAATGCTACAGTAGTAGAGAGGCCAAGCAGTGCATTATCCCTCGGAGAAGTGGTATTTCAGTTTCGCTCACCATGACTGTCATCACCTATGTTGCCACAGCGCAACCATCGATTCCGCTCGGCTTGTTGTGAAAGGTCGCTTTCCTCGCATCATACCTCTTTCATGGCATGCAAGGGAAGGCTGAGAAAGTGACCATGACTCATTTCACGGCAGTTTATGCGCAAACCAATCCATCACGAAGTTTTTGTTAACGGAGGAAGTACATTTACATGTAGTTGTGGGATACGGGAGTATTCCTTCCTAGCTATGAGATCAGTCCTTTTCTCCTGTTTCACACCATTGAAATGGAAAGAGTTCGCTTTGGCCTGTGGTTTAACGAACTTAGACCACCGTCACCTGGCAAGTTTGCTGTGTCTTTTGCGGAGGCCGCTAGGCTTGTTTACAATTGCCCGTTGTGTACCGCGCAATAACGCGTTTTCAAATGGAAAGTACTGTATTCTTCGGAGTATAAGGCGGACTTTGAACACTCAAAATTCACCAAAAAGAGGGTGATGAGGCTTATACTCCGATGATCAAATGAGCGGTGAAAAATAGGATCGTGTGACAATTTTGGCGCGTGTGAGTTTTCTCTGACCTGCATATCTAATTCTTTGAGACCCAGAAATAATTGAGCCGTGATCGACTGAAGTATCGCAAAAGGTTCGATCCCAGGTGACCAAAAGTTGTACGGGCTGTTTGTAAAGGTTAATGGGCCTAAACATGTTCTCCCTCTATTTATCTTTCTCATTTACTATTCTATTACAGCTCGAAAGAAACTCTGCGCATACCGAGATGACCAGTCAGTCTGATCGTTTATCTACCAGAAGAGTTCGGGTAAGGATTTTAACGATCCACTGTTGCAGTAAACATGGCTGATTGTGCTGTGTAGGATGAGGCTGTGACGATTGAGTGTACTATCATTTAGCAAGAACTGACCTACCTGGTACATCCGTGTAGCAGCGAGTGTCCCAATACTAATCCTATTTTGTCTTCACAACTCCATGGTAGGTGAAGCACGTTTGTTCACATATCGCCATTATCGTCTACTATGGCAGCTGTGCAGCCGTTGAACAGCTTAGATTGCAACTCTTATTTAGTATGTGACTGCAAGAGGGGGTGTATATCTTTATCACCTGATGTCTCACACTCGGGGAGTACTTTTATTACGTGATGTCTCACACTCGGGGAGTACTTTTATTACGTGATGTCTCACACTCGGGGAGTACTGTGAGGAAGGGTTCTCAGATCTGCTCTCTAATGGGGGAGCTCCTTGAGGCAGAATGATCTCTCCTTGAGCTTGAGCATTAGACAAGTACTGGGCGTCGGACACCATGGTAGAGAACTGGACACAGGCTCCATTTTAATCTTCTTGTGTCCCATCTGTTTAGTTGCGGACTCAGCTTCTCCAGTACAGCTGTCTGCTGTTGTGTCCGCCTGAATCCCAGTACATGTACTAGAACTCCTTTCATCAGCCTCTACTTGCCCAGAATCACCTGTGGTTATCTTTGTGAACACCTTTCTGGCTGAATTGTGTGGATTTCGGAGCCAACAATGAAACTTTTGCTTCCCCTAATGCCAGCTTGCTGCTGTTTTGCCACTCTGTTTGCTTGCTCCTCCAGTCTAGGTCAAGCGGCAATGTCAACGATGACATTGCAATACAAACTGATCACTTGTTGATTTGTCTAACTCCGCAGAGGATTGAACAGATCAATCAGAAATCCAAAGTAAGCATGCCTTTTGTACAGTCTGAGGAACTGCAAGACTTTGAGGTGGGTAAACGAAGGGAAGGGAGAAATCTGCTGCAAGCAACGTTAGGCACGTTTACTTCAAGTAGCGTTTTGGATATGTCTGACTTGCTACTGGGATCTGCCCGGTTGTGCAAAATTTACGAGTGTGGTATTTTATTGTTATGACTGTTCGAAAACGTTGTCGTTTTACATTATACTGTAGATGTGTGTGTTGGAGGGGTATTCCAAATGGAGATGGGATGGGGGGGGGGGGGGGGGTGAAGTACTGCAACAGGAGATGAGAAGGGGGCAGAGTATTGCAACAGGAGATACGACAGGAGTACGGATGGGGGGGGGGGGGGGACAGTGCTCTCCCATCTCACGTGGTTGTTGTCATGCATGTTGAGTCAGCTGATTGGCTACTCAGCTATCAGTGATAGTGTCCTGGCGCCATGTAGTGGAATTGTTTACTGGCTGCGGTCTCTGTCACCTTGTTAGCTTTAGCTCACGTTGCTTTATGCCAGAAAACACCTGCTTCAAGCACCCTGAAACTACACTCATTGAGAACTGTTGCCATGCAAAGACTCAACGCCATGGTGATGTAACTACGATCACGCTGAGAAGACTGAGATCACATGAAAAGTGTACCAAACAGCATTGTTAGTCATGACAGCAGCAACAAGGACAAAGTGCAGTCAATAACCAGTGCCGCAGTGATTTGAGAATCGTAAACTGAACATTTTGAAGCAAAGTGATACAGTTTTCCTGTGCTTCCAGTGGCCTGTTCCGATGGCGTGGAGCGAGGTGAACTGAAAATAACAAGGTGACGTCTCTACGTCTCACAACAGATAACCACTGCTCCTGTCAGAACTGCTTCCTGTGTAAGCTAGTAAAAGTGGCGAAACATCCGACTCTTCCGGTTCCAAGGCACGCATCGGGTGCAGAAAGGGGGCACAATGGTAGTTGCATGGTAATTTGTTCCAGACCACTCCTATTTGAATCGTGCTGCGCTCTTTCCAGCCCGCGAAGGCAGATATATGCAGTACAGCCCTTGTACTCAGGTGGGAATCTAAATACCCACTATTAAGGGAGGGGATGTGTGCCCTATGCCGGTGTGAGGAGAGTACTCCTACATTCGGGATAAGGTGGGAGACAAAATGTTCCGTCAGTCCGGGAGTACATGTCGGTGGGTAGAGTGCTCCGCTGGCTGAAGCCGAGAACAGAACCGGTGTTATCATTTCGCTCCTGGTGAACGTTGGGAAGGGCAAGCATTGAGGGTATTCTAGCCTCAGGTTTGGTGACTAGGATTGGACACTGTCAAAATTGATGTATACATTCTCTCTCACACCTCGCATTAGCAACAGCAAAACCACAGTGCAGGGTCGGCTGCGAACAGCCACATTGCAAGACAAAAAGGACACTGTCAAAATTCATGTATACAATTCCAGCAGCGGCGGGCAGGGGTAGCGAGATGATTCTCTGTCTCTTTCTCTCCTTCACCTACGCTGTGACACAAAGTTTGCTGTGCTTTCTGCATTTTTTGTAGTGGACACAGGTGACCACTGGCGTCGACGGAGAAGGCGAGAGTACTAACATTGTCTTCGACAACACGCTAGTTGTTTTCTGCAGCGATAAGACCGGCGCGATCACCCGCATCCGCCAGTACAGCAACCTGGAAGGGTTTCAATACTTCCCCACGCCGGAGGGCACCGCATTTCATCCGGCGCTCGCTGTGCATGGCAACACACTGTACATGTTCTGTCACGAGGTAGCGAGGTCTCCAGTCATCCTGAAAATCACCGCAGAGCAAGGGCAAGCAGCTGGAGAGACGGGCCGTTGGGTGAAGGTCACCGATGTCCCTTACGAGGTGCACCGTCACTGTACTATGCAGGCTACCAGCACCTCAATCACCCTGCTCGGTGGCACGGATCGGTCGTTCTCCTCTAAGAGTCACGTAAGCACGTTCTCGTTCGCCGATAGCCAGTGGACGTCGTCCGCCAACAGGTTTCGAAGGTCGCTTTCCCAATTGCCGTCTTCCTGCCGGGACGCTTCACTTCTGCAGTGTTGTTGTTCCCAGTACGTTATCGGTGGACTGCACGGTGTCTTCTTCCAGAGAGATGTGGGAGGCAAGTGGCGGCAAGCAAAGATGCCCGGCGCTGCAAACCTGTCGTTCTCTGCGGCATGCACATTGTCCGAGGACTGCATCGCCATTGCCACCGGCCTCACATGTATAGTCCACAACGTTGTGACCCAAGAGGTGCACGAATTGCCCCGTTGCGGCATAGCACCCGCCTTCCCATCACTTGCTCTCTTCAATGACTGCCTAGTGCTCACTGGTGATGGAGGAGAGGTGTGGAAGCTACACATGAATGTGTGAGTAGCCAGCAAATTGCTGTGTGTGTGTGTGTGTGTGTGTGTGTGTGTGTGTGTGTGTGTCCGCGCCGGCATCACCTATTCCGCTCAACGTCCCAGCTTCTCTCTTGTGTGTGACATGCAATCGGCAATTCAAGTCAGTGCCTGGTTTCAGACGTCACAAGTGCGACCGTGGCCATCGAGCAACCAAGTCTGATAGAGCGTCGTATGGTGTTCGCTGTTCTCGCTGCAACCGTCAGTTCCGTCGGCAGAGTGACCTGAATCATCATCTCCGTTTCTGCTCCTGACAATGACTCTGGCTCCTTTCGGAGTGGTGTGGCCTTGTGGCAACCAAGCTACAGTAGTAGTAGTAGTGTGTGTCTGTATGTGTGTGTGTGTGTGTGTGCATGCGTGTGTGTGTGTGTGTGTGTGTGTGTGTACGAGTACAGCGTTCTGCATTATATTTTAGCACTGTTTTAGCACTATATACTCATACGTGCAGGTTATAATTATGCAGATCTGCTTAGTAGCATACCCAATCCAGGCGTCCATTTGCCACTACTTCCCATCGCCATCTCTTGCACACTGTAAGCTTTTAGATCTAGAGCAGGATTTAAATTGTCTTCCCAGGTACTCATACCCAGCTAAGTAAGTACCGGAATGTTGGTCCTGTGTTGATGCTACTTCGCCCAAAGCGCTTTTTTCTTGACGTATTGGCGCTTTTTTCTTGTTGAGTTGCCCTTTTCTTTCCGTGTTTGCACTTTTTTGCTGTAGTTGCACTTGCACATCACCTTACTTGTACGTTTTATACATGGCCTAGAGTTCTATACATGGCCTAGAGTTCTATACATGGCCTAGACTAGAGTTCTATACATGGCCTAGAGTTCTATACATGGCCTAGAGTTCTATACATGGCATAGACAACAGTAATGGTATTTTAACCTTGCAAGGGCATGCGTGCAAGCAAGCGCACACACGTGTGTGTGTGTGTGTGTGTGTGTGTGTGTGTGTGTGTGTGTGTGTGTGTGTGTGTGTGTGTGTGTGTGTGTGTGTGTGTGTGTGTGTGTGTGTGTAACCTGCACGGCGAAGGCTTGGGCTGTTGTAATGGACCCTGAGTGTGCTTGACTGAAAGCTCGACTATGTTTTGAGCACGCCTCTGCAACGGATGGACTGTGTTTCGGTAATGCTATCATTGCACATCTGACCACCATCTGTCGATGTACCCTCCACACCGCCCAGCTGTTGGCAATGGGCATTCCCCGAGGGTCGTGACGGGCATATGTGAAGCAGCTCAGTATTACGGAACTCTGATAAGTTATACCCCCTAGATAGCCGGGAACTTCCTAAAGTGTACTAACGTTTCGGCTATACAATATTGATACCGAAGTCCCTGCATGTTCAGAACTTCCTGTTCTCACATTTTGAAAAATACACTCTGCATGTGGTGATACTGGTAGTACTTGTGCTGAACATCTGAACATGCAGGGTCCTCCGTAGAACGGTATTTTACATGTACTTAGTTTAGTTCCGATTGTATCCGAATAATACTTGCCACATGCCATGGCAGCAAGTGTAGGGCATGCATGATAGGATCGCACCATCAAAGCCTAGCATGGCTTAGGCCTTGCAGAATGCAGTGCAGGGATCACACGACATTTTACTTGTTGTAGTTAAGTTGTACTACAAAAATTGATGGTGGCGATTATGTAATACATGTAGTACAAATCACCATGAATTGATCACTAGCATCCACTGCGTAGATCTGCCACATCTACTGTCGTAGATCTACGGAGCATGCATGGTATGTGTGTTGCTAAAAAAAGAAACACTGGCTGGTGTAGATCGACCAATCCATGCCTGGTGTAGATCGTCGAGTCGTCTTCGTCGGATCGTAGACCTGGTAGACGGTAGAGCCTGGATAGCGCAAGACTGTACTCTGTAGTGTAGCCTAGACGACTAGATATCGATAGGTTTTGGGAGCAGAGGTATTTTAGCTAGGCTGTCACATGGTCACACTCGATCCAGTCAAAAACGAATGACCAAACGTGACAGATAATGAGATCATGCCTACTATACCCCGGCCCAGTGTCAACAGACTCAACACTACCTTTTTTTGGCAAGCACTACTCATGCATGGACTGATGGAGCGCTCAGAATAAGAAATTTTTTGCTGCTGCTTTTCGCCTGTAGCTGTCGTGCCAGACAAGCAACCTTGGAAGCAATAATAGTTGGAGCTCAGACAGAAGTGGAAACGAGTCAGTTTTTATTCCTTCAACTATTACTTAGCTTACTGGTGTTTCTAGTAGTAGTAGTGGAGAGTCAGTGAACACGCTCGCTAGCTGCGCGCACCTGAAAACTACTGTTGTATTTGTAACAGTTAGTGTGTCATGTCCTGAGTGTAGATTGACCTGGTGACTCGCTTAGCTAGCTCGTTGAGCACGATAAAATTCCTGTCAGAGCCACGCGTTACTCGCTAACGTTATTACCGTACCGTGCGTGTACTAGTAAGTTAGTGAACGTCTGTGAGCACGTCCAGCAAAGTCGATCCCAATGCCGGGTGGTAAAAGCAAGAAGAAGAAGAGTAAAACGGGGACGGGCGGCCACAAGAATGGAGTGGTCGACCAGGAGTACTATCAAATACTCCTGCTTGGCGTCGGCGGGGTGGGGAAAAGCTCATTGGTTCTGCAACTCGTCTTCAACGAGGTGAGTGCCGCTAGTGCTTTGGCGATATTATTATTACGGCAGCCTGACGTACGTCGTTGGCAGCCTACATTTGGACTCACCTCTCATCTTTGTATCTGCCGTGTAGGAGCATTGTGAGGCTGCATACTGCCGGTGTGCATGATGCATCGGCGGCAATACTACCAAAAGTACCAATAGTACCAATAGTAGAGTGACACTCGCACGTCATTACAACCAAGTCCAATGTCTGAGTCCCATAACTGGCATAAGGGTTGGGCGGTGCAGTGACAGCACACTATTTTTTATCCCCGTAGCTATGCAGAAGACGTTACTTCAGTAACGTCTGGCGCTAGCCAGGGTCCACACAGCTTTAATTTGGTATTTGTTTGTTTGTGTGTTTGTTTGTTTGTTTGTGTCACGCCTGGCGCTATCCCGTATCTGTCCCGTATCTTAGACTACAAAGGCTCTACAGGATTGTACATAACAGCTGTCCACAATATTTGCTGGCTCCAGTATCTGTCCCGTACCGTACCAATATTCGTCGTATTATGTATACGACTCCCTGATGTAGAGGGAGATTTGGAAAGAAATAGGGAGACGAGGAGGAAATTAAATTAGAATAGACGCCGAATAGGTGATAGGATGCGTCAGCATAAACAGCGTCAGCATAAACATACATGTACTTTGGAAGAGAGATCGCGTCGTCTCCAAAATAAGCGTGAACGAGCGATTCAGCGTCGGTCACAGGAAACGTCGGAAGAGAGATCCCGTCGACTCCAGAACGCCCGTGATCGGCAGAGTCCGCCGGTCCCAGGCAACGTCAGGACAGACATCCCGTTGAATCCAGAACGCCCGTGATCCGCAGAGTCTAAGCCGGTCCCAGGAAACGTCAGGACAGACATCCTGTCGAGTCCAGAACGCCCGTGATCGGCAGAGTCAGCGCCGGTCCCAGTGAACGCCAGGACAGACATCCCGTCGACGCGCAGAAAAACTAAATCTGCCGCCTCTTTTGCCGTCGGACAGGATACGTATCATAGGAGACTGTAAAGTAAGTAGTTATGTAATGTCCAAATTTCTACTTGAGCAGCAGGTCACTCGCGTTGATTTTTCGACGTGCGAGCCAAATAACGCGAGCTGAACTTTCGCGTCGCAGACATCCCGTCGACGCGCAGAAAAACTAAATCTGCAGACTCTTTTGCCGTCGGACAGGATACGTATTTTAGGAGACTGCTAAGTTATGTAATGTGCTCCACAGGCAACCATGCATTCGGCGTCGTCATTGGCTCAACAGGTCAATGTACATGTATTACTACAAAAAGGCCAGAAAATCCGATTACTGTATTAAAATCAACTAATTTTCGCTGGCGATTTAATTTCGCTGATTTCGCCGCTTGGTACCAACCGGCCAAAGTAAATCACAGGCCAAAGTTTGTCATATAGGAAATTGATGCTTTATTGAGCAATGGATGCATGTGAGAGCAAAAATACCTATCGATTTCAAATTTGACGTGAAATTGCGCGTCGCGTCGGAAATAACGTGCATCTTAACCTCTCTAATAGAGAGGTTTCTATTTCTCATCAGCCAAAATTTGTTGATTTACAGTATAAGGAGATAAAAAGAAAAGAAGGAGCAAACCAAAAGAAGATGATTATTAGAGAAATAACAATCCGCAATAAATTCTGCAAATACTTTTGCCTCAGTTCTTATAACATGTACGATGAGCTAGGCAAAAAAGCATAAAAGCTTAGCGTAGGGCCCTGAGCTTCCAAGCTCTCTCGTTTGGTGTTTGTTTGTTTGTTTGTCTGTTTATTTGTTTGTTTGTTTGTTTGTGTCACGCCTGGCGCTATCCCGTATCTGTCCCGTACTGTACCGTGCCAGCAAAGACAGCTGGCCACAATATTTTTGTTTGTTTGTGCCATCGACATGCCTGGCGCTATCCCGTACCTGTCCCGTACCATCAAGAGTACGGTACCATCAAGAGAATTAGTATATATGCGAAGTGTATCGGGGGAATGCATTCAGCATTCAGTGCAGTAACACTTTGTGTGGATTTGTGTGCGAGGCCGAGATCCCACTAGCAGGCTGGCTGGGCCGCCTGTCGACCAGCCCGGGAATCGCATGTAGGCCGATAGCATAATAATTATGACGTATATACAGTCATGTAGATGTATAGCGGGGAGTCATATAATGTAAACGACTCCCTGCTGTATGGGGAGATTTTCTTTAAAAAAATACGAAGCAGGGAGACGAGTAAATGCAATCAGAATGGATGTTAGTTGCCGTCAGTATAATAATAATAAGAAGAAGAAGAACGCCCGTGATCGGCAGAGTCAGCGCCGGTCCCAGGAAACGTCAGGACAGACATCCCGTCGACTCCAGAACGCTCGTGATCGGCAAAGTCAGCGCCGGTCCCATAGCTATGCAGAAGACGTTACTTGTACTCATTGAAACGTTGTTGCAATACAATGATGTAGCTAATCAAAGGAAAAAGCATTTCCATCAGTTCTAACAACATGCACGATGAGCTAGGCAACAAAGCATAGCGCAGGGCCCTGAGCTTCCAAGCTCTCTCGTTTTGATACCCAGGGGCCATCCGTAAATATCGATAGTTTTTTCAAGACGATAATTATGTGTTCATTTCTCCCCAGACCTCCTCCCTCCCCTCTCAAAATGGTGGTAGTACATTGGGTACTACACTTGCCTGCGACCCGAGAGGTCGCGGGTTCGAGCCCCGCAGTCGCACATCTGCCTGCAAAATCCCCACGGCGCAGCTCACCAGATCAAAGGTGTGGATCCTCTGCACTCAGTAGAGTTAAGTCGAGCGAGCTGCAACTCCCGGCCGAAAGGCGGGCTCATGTCCCTACATGGCTACGTCCCCTTGTCTAACCCCCAAGACGAAAATGATAGGCGACTGGCCGGAAATAAAATCAGTTCATTGTGTAAAAAGTGCCTTTTCTAGGGACCGTATTTTATATAAGCCGCACTAGAGTATAAGCCACCCCCCTTGCCACGAAATACAGACATCTACCCTATTTCATTTCACCATAAATTTGATCATCGGAGTATAAGCCGAACCCTCTTTTTTCGGGTGAATTTTTGAGTGTTCAAAGTGTGGCTTATACGGTAAAACCTGTAACTAAAGACCACCGTGACTAGCGACCAGCCTGGTACTACAGACCACTTCGCCAGGCACGGACGGCCTCACATTATTATGATTGTGCGGTGCAAACCTCTAAGGATCGCCTGCCACTAAAGACCGCTTTCTCTGGCCCCAAGGGGTGGTCGTTAGTCACAGGTTTTACTGTTGTTGTTGTTGTTGTTGTTGTTGTTGTTGTTGTTGTTTGGCTTTATTTAGAGTGCAGTTCCAAAACAGGCCTAAACCTAATGACAATGGTCCCACTGATAATAAGAGAAAAGAAAAATATATAAAAATAAGCGATACTGTACTCCGGAAAATCCGGTAACTGCGTAACACTGTGTTATTACAATCCACCATGTGTGGACTAGCTACTCCATGCACTGTACTCAAAACCAGTATTGTTTCTCCAATTGTCTACAAAATCCGAAAGAATATTAATCGAACCAGGACTTAGGCATGTTCTTGTTGGGTATATTTTTACTCTTCATTTGCATTTATAGGCGATTCACATGACATGCAAATCCACGTGTATGGCCCTCTATTTACTTGTGTGACCAAAACGCGTGCAATATCAGGATAAACTTGCTGGGGGGGGGGGGGGGGCATAGGCCCACGTTTGTGCTTTTTGTGCCAATGTAAAACCAGCGAAAGTGCTTGAGTATGGTGCTCGAGGCAAACAGGTATGCTCAAGTACACAGGCGCGTGCAAGATTTCCGATGGGCAGCTTGTACACTTTTACACAAACATGTTTTCGTTCATATGCACGTTGTGTGAATTGCCTGTAAGCAGAGAATGCTCTGTGACAAGAAGCACAATAGCAGCAGATTAGTTCATAAGGGGACATAAGACAGAGACAGGTTATTTTCTATATTAGTACTTGTGCCGGCAGATAGAATCTTAAAACTCATCCATCTGGTGTTTCTTTTCTTGTGAATGTGTTTGCATATGTGTGCGTGTGTTTTTTTGCATGTGCACGTGTGAGTGTGTGTGCGTGTACATGCGCGCGTGTGTGTGTGTATGTGTGTGTGCGTGCGTGTACGTACACGTGTGTGTGTGTGTGTGTGTGTTTGTGTGCATGCGCGTGTACACGCGTGAATGCTGTGCCGGCAGTTTCACGACGAGTACCGCCCATCTGAGGTAGATAACTATCAAGCACAGGTAGAAGCGGACGGCATAGTGTCACGAGTAGACGTGTTGGACACGTCCGGCCAAGAAGAGTACGCACTGGCGCGTGACAGTTACATACGAAACAGCATGGTACGTGCATTTGTGTGTCCAACCGTGCGTGCATAGGTGTATAGTATTTTCAGGAGTTAAAAGCCACACTGCAGTGTAAGCCGTACCTGGCATTTTTAGCCACTAGTACAGTTTCGCTCGGTGAAATCCAACCCAAAGTGCAAAGCTGGTGCCCTGTACCAGTTTTGATTACATCATCGTATCTGTACATGCGTAAGTTCAGCCGCATTCGTGCCACTCCCAGGGTGTCAAGGGCCGTGCAAAAACAGGGCGCCAAATGTGCACTCTGGGTCGGATTTCACAGAGCGCAACTGTACTACATGTGTATTCCTCTGATAACGGATTTTCCACGATGCTGTTGATGGCCAATTTTACCCTGGTGACATCTTTTGGAGGTCATTGAATCATGGCTGAAAGCTGCGGGATTAGTTTCTCCATGAAAATGGTCAAATCGATGACCACCGCAAAACACATGGCGGTCGTACCGTGCTATCTTCACTCTCCACGAACTACTGTACTAGCAGTAAGTCAGGAAATTTTCTTCTGAAAAGTGGTTTTCTCCAGTATGCTGTGCCATAGCAATGAGAAGAACTGACTCTGACTGAAGCAAAGTACGAGTGCTCCTGCCTTTCCGATTTCGACGGAAACTGCACGCGAAAAACAACGCTTCATCAGCAGCTATGATGCAAAAACAGCCAAGGGATGATCTGTAGTGGCACGTGCAGGGCCTGCCACTGCATATACGCATATGTGCACGGTCAGCTCTGACTTTGATCGATCTGATTCCATGACTGCTGGTTGATCTGCATGCTTCTCCCTTTCGCGTGCAAACATGTTTTAAATCGATCGAGTTTCGGCTGTACATCCGCCAAAACGTTGGGGGGGGGGGGGGATGGCGCTCTCTTGCCCCCTTCCCTCCCCCCCCCCCCCCCCCCCCCCCCCTGTCGCTTCTTACGCCACTGCATGGGCTTGGTATTCCTATGTCAACTACTGCTTGGCGCTTCCCTCCCTATTAAAATTTGGGAGGTTTCGCTCGTAATTACGTATGAAAATCCGTATGTCGTACGCGCCGGGGAGCGAGGGCAACGTTCATACGTAAATCTCTACGGATTTCCGTAGGAAAGCTTATTCCTACGTTGGGTCCTTTGTAGGACATTTTTGAAATATTTTTTTAGCGTTTTCTGGATTTATCCATGGCAACATTCAAGCCGCGCGAAACACAAGGTGCATACCACGTGGAAAACAAAGTGGAAAACGCGGTTGCAGTTCATTGTGCATGCGGTGTGCACATGCAGCCAACGCTTCTCCAAAGCAACAAGCAGTCGTGGAGAAATCACGTAGAGCGACACCCAACAGCGCTGAGTTTTACGTATGAAAATTACGTGCATTTCCTACGTTATTTTCATGTGTAATTCCGTAGAGCGAAACCTCCCTGTTGTTGGGCTTGATGAAGATTGTACGAATGTCAACTAGAGCTTGTAACTTTCCTCTATCTATTGTAGATAGAGTCAACTTCGCTAATAACGACTGCGGATATAACGACAATTCGCGAATAACGACAGAATTTTCATGCCCAGAGCAAAGTCCCATCCAACCTGTATACATGTAATGAGACTTCGGGTATAAGGACACTTTGCTAATAAGGACACTTTTCTGGTGCCCTGCCGAGTGTCGTTATAAGCAAAGTTGACTGTACTTGCCCAATGGTGCAGACAGCAAGATAAATGTACATCGTATCTATTTTACCTTGACATTCGAGGGTGTTGGCAATCCTGTGGATGCAGAAAATACAGTCAATAATCAATCCACTTCTCATACATGTCTGTGTCTTTGTCTCCCTCGTGCACGTGTGTCTCCATCTCCATTGTGCACGTGTGTGTCTCCATCTCCCTCGTGCATGTGTGTCTCCATCTCCCTCGTGCATGTGTGTCTCCATCTCCCTCGTGCACGTGTGTCTCCATCTCCCTCGTACACATGTGTCTGTGTTGCTATGGTTGTACGTATGCAGGGTTTTCTTGCAGTGTTCTCTATAGCAGAGCAGGATTCCTTCGATGCCCTGCCAGAACTGGTAGACGCTGTTCGCCGTGTAAAGAGGGGTGAAGACGCACCAATCATCGTAGTCGGCAACAAGAGTGATTTGAAGGTCAGTTCATCCCAGTCCTTTAGATCTTTGCAGGGCGGTGGCGTTTCTACGGATGCTGAAAACGCAGTCTAACTGAGTCTCAAGCGAACCGTGATTTTCTCATTTCAGTGGCGCTGTGTCTGCTGGTCTGGTTGTTGTCTGTTCTCTAAAGTGTCCTTTCTTATCTACCTGTATCTATTTTCGTGTGTATCTGCTGCTGCATCAACGCCTTGATCCTTGAGGGTGGTGGCTCTCCTGCAGATTTGGAATATTCGGTCTCTATGCGAGTCGAACGCGAGCCGTGAAATTTAACTTTTTCTTACTATATTTAATCTGCTGCAAAAGCAAACTCCACCTGATGGTGTTGAGTACTTTGTTTGGAGGGGTATTCTGCTTGTGATTGTTCTTCTATCCACCTGCTTGTGGATTTGCCTGTGGATTTGCGTGTTCTCCTCTCTGCTTGTTTTCTCTCTCCCCCCCCCCCCCCCCCGTCTGAACTCGAATTCACAACTGTAGCTGTAACTCCCTGCCTCTCTCTCTCTCCCTCTCTCTCCCTCCCTCTCTCTCCCTCCCTCTCTCTCCCTCCCTCTCTCTCCCTCCCTCTCTCTCCCTCCCTCTCTCTCTCTCTCCCTCTCTCTCTCTCTCTCTCTCTCTCTCTCTCTCTCTCTCTCTCTCTCTCTCTCTTTCTGTCCCTCCCTCTCGCTATCCTTTTCTTTCTCTCCCCACCCCCTCGTCCCTTTCTCTCTCTCTCTCTCACACACATAGCCGAAGATTGTTAAGAGGTGCTTCTCTTGAAGTAGATAATTGTGCCACTGCACTGTAATCCAAAGTAAATAGAATGTATCTAGTTACAAGTGTGTTCTATTACAGTAAGATCGGGCGCCGAAGAACACCTCACCGAAGAACACCCAGGCTGGAAAACCGGCAAAATTTAAGAACAGTCCAGGCTAGAATTATCAGATTTAAGAACACTTTTAAAATTGGAATTTCCACATGAGTGCAGTATTTAACTGATTATACATTGTACATGTATGGGAGGTAAGTACATGTCATGTACACGTGTAAACAGTAACTGCTACATGTACAGTCATTCCCATTTACGACACCCACTAGTTTAGAAGTTCTACATTGCACTACATGTACATGTACATGTACATGTACATGACAAACGTCATGACGTCACTCGACTCGCCGCGCGCGTGTGAATAAGAACGGTCTGGCTAGAATCAAAAATTTAAGAACTTTCCTAGGCTGCGCTCGAGCCTCTGCGTTCTTCGGCGCCCGATCTTACTGTATGGAGTCAGCCACGATCTCGCATCTTGTTTTCACTTTCCTATTCCTGACTATTGTGTGCGCTGTATGTGCGTGTGTTTTTGTTTGCACGTGTATGTGTGTGTGTCTATGTGTGTGTGTTTGTGTGTGTGTGTGTGTGTGTGTGTGTGTATGTGTGTGTGTGTGTGTGTATGTGTGTGTGTGTGCGTGTGTGTGCGTGTGTGTGTGTGTGTGCGTGTGTGTGTGCGTGTGTGTGTGCACATGCGCGCGCATGATTATGCTCTGTTATTGGTGCTATTCGCTCTGTAGGAACAGCGTGTTGTGTGGGAATCGCAAGGCAGGGACTATGCGGAAAGCAATCATCTCATCTATTTCGAGACGTCCGCAAAGACATCCGAGAACGTAACGCCAATGTTTGTAGAGCTGGTCAGGCAGATGCGGGCCACACGTGCTGCGGCCGCGGCCCAGAATGGAGCAGTCAGAAGTGGAGGGCATGGTGGGCGACGACGACGCTGCGTCATCCTGTGAAGAGAAGTCGTGCACCTGTAGACACGTCCGAGTATGTGAATGTTATGTGTGTGTGTGCCCATACACACGCACACACACTCACACAGGACAGACACACACACACACACACACACCACATACACACCCATGATAGGTATCCATTTACCTCTGGAGAATCCGTAAATAAACAACACAATACAAAATGCAATACAATCCACACAAACACAAACACACACACACACAGAGAAACTCACACAGGGTAAATTGTCAAACAAAGAACCCAGTGAAGTAACAGACTGGTCCGCGTCATGACAGACAATGTCAGTGAAGTATATCTATTCTTGAGACTGGCGCTTGGCTGCAGGACACCCATTCAAGCAGTTTTATTATCATAATTGCTCAAATTCCACCCTTCTATTCAGTTTTCCCCGGATTTTCCCGATTCTCCTTTTATTTGAGGTCAATTTCCAAAAACTTTTACCTGATATTACAGGCCACTATCAAGCCCAAGAAACATGGGGAAATCAGTTGGATTGTTCGAAATCCAACGTTACACGCTACAAACCAAAATTATGAAAATTGTGTTTATAGGCTGATAACTTCAAGAAAACATAGACCACGTCTGCAAGGTATCATCCACAGACGTACACCCGATGCAAAATTATTTGCGGATTTACGATATCAACTCTGTTCCTGATGGTGTGTGTTTGGCTGAGGGGTGTATCTGACATCCGGAAAGAGAGGGAGAGAGAGAGAGAGAGTGTGTGTGTGTGTGTGTGTGTGTGTGTGTGTGTGTGTTCATGTGTGTGTATGTGTGTATTTGAATGTATGCTCTGCGTTATGAATACCCGGCAATGTGCAGAATGTGCAGAAGGGGCTTTAACTGCCTTCTTTGTTATCAGTATTGGTTCTGATGAACACACACACGGACATACAGAAACAGCTAAACTGTATCTGTGTGCTGCTGTGCTGTTGCTTCAGTATTCTTGTTGTTATGCTTACTCGCCCAGGTGCTGGTGTTTTGCATGGTGGAATGCATGTCGTTTAAAAGTTTGTTCTGTGCCGATTCATGATCACTGCATAGGATTGCATGGCACTATGGTGATGTATGATCGTACATGATATGCATGGTGCTGACTGATGCTGACTGATGCTGACTACATGGAGTTATTGCTGCTGCTGCTGCTCTGCATGGCGGCTACGGATTGATGCATGACTGCATGACTACATGAATATATGGGTGAGTGTATGCTAGCTAGTTCTGTACTTGTTGTGGTCTGTACAGTTGTGTTGATCTGGTATTTGCTAGTGATGTTGCTGCTGGTGCAGCTGGTTCTGCTTGTGGTGCTGGTGCAGCTAGTGCTGGTGGGGTGTTGATAATCTCATCCATACTCTCACTGAGTACGGCCATGTCATCAGTCCAGCTATGAAGACAACATGTCTGAAGTTGTTCGTGGAATAGTCAGCATGGCTGCAGAGGAACTCTTTAGGTAAAGTGCATTTCTGGTATTCAAAGCTCATCACAGGTATTCAAATTGTGGTATTTAAAACTGCAAAGTGACCAGATGAAGAACAATATTCTAAACAGCTAGCAGCTAACACTCTTGTTCCATAAAGCAAGCATTCACACAACACCGTGAATATTTAGAGGGTCCATGCATGTCCTCTGCGGATCAGCACTTGAACAGTTGATCCAAGTAAACATCCACGAGTGAACAGTGTACCCATTTGGCACATACGCACCATGCACATAGCATGGAGTGTTCTGACTGCTGTTGATTTGTAGTGGCACCGCTTGAAAACCTCACAGTCATAATGACTGTGTGCCGGTAATCACCGTTTAGCGCAGTGACATGCACAAGTAGAGGTCCTTGAGCAAAACATCGTTTTTGTCGGTGCTTGGTGCACTGTTACTATGCCATTTTCTCCGACAATGGGTGTTTGGCACATGTTTATCAACAGAAACAATGCCACCAGAAAGAAGTGGTGTTTAGAGTTCTGTTTCAGGTTCACATTCTAGAACTCACTTACCAAAGGCTGTTGGACTTGCTGGCGTGTGGGTGGGTACCTTACGTTCCACATGGTTCTCCCAGCTAGCATGATACTTGATAGGGCCGGCTTCATCCGTGCATGCCATGATCCCTTTTCTCACCCTCTCTGTGCCCAGGTGACGTCAGCAAGGTTCCATATTTCTAAAGATGATCTAACAAACACGTACTTAACTTGTACTTGTCACAGCCTTGGCCTTGTCTATTTGCATAGTGCTTAGATCTGTGAAGTCTGTGTAAAACTGTGCACTCTCTTGGGGGGTACAAGTGAGTTTCAAAAGTGCATCGTTTTACACTATAGAGACCTTTGGTCGGAGGAGTTACTTTTGCCCCGCCCCCACTTCCATCCAATATGCCACCGCCCCCGCTGTGCAGCATCTGATGGTACTGTGGTATTCAGTAAAAATAAAAAATAAAAAAATAAATAAAACTATCATGTTAGATCTAAACAGGGGAGGGGAGCTCCGGAGGAGCGTTGCTGGGACTAAACCCAGCTACAATACTAATCATGTTGGTGACTGTAGGCTGACGCTGCTGTGCAGAGCTAGAGAAGGAAATTGTACAGTAGATTCGTACCACTAGTTGTAGTAGGCACTACACACTGAAATGCAGTCCAGAGCGTTGTTACGTGACAGTGCAGTGCGAACATGCACATCATGGCTTTTATTTGCAGAATTCTGAATCTTGAGGGGGGGGGGCATTATTAGAATCAGGATCCCTCTTCAGGGCAATCCTGGATCTACCACTGGCTGTTATCCGTATGCAGGATTGGCAAGGTTAGGAGATGACTGTACAACAGTTAGGTAGGAGAGATACATAGCATACAGTTCGGTCCCTGTTGCTCTGCCTTTGTGTAGTATACAGTTCTGGAGAATAGCTGCACAATGTGCTGTTAGATGTACATGTACATTGTATGAATACACCGCCATGCTCTTTAAAAACACAATGCTTGAGGCTGGTGTGTATTGCGCAATCAGATGTTCAAAGCTACCGACTCATTGTGCATGATGTATGAAGGGATGGCTTGTGAGAGAGTGACTCTATTTTGTGCTGAACTGCTTCAGTGTTCGGACTCTGTAAGCAGGTCTTTAACTGTTTCAGTGTTCGGACTCTGTTGTAAGCAGGTCTTTAACTGTTTCAGTGTTCGGACTCTGTTGTAAGCAGGTCTTTAACTGTGTCAGTGTTCGGACTCTGTTGTAAGCAGGTCTTTAACTGTGTCATTGTTCGGACTCTGTTGTAAGCAGGTCTTTAACTGTGTCAGTGTTCGGACTCTGTTGTAAGCAGGTCCTTCAACAACAATTTGTAGAGTGTATTACTACACATGTTGTATAGAGATTGAGAGATGGAGTGCATTCATTGTGTGGTGAATTGTGTATTGTGTAGAAGGTTTGAGGTAGTACATTGTATTCGGCAATTGTCTATGAGTGATGGTGCAACAAGGAGCTCAAAGTGCAGATGAGCCGCTCATTCATTCGCACTATCGACCCACGTATCTTCTTGGATTTCACAATGGCAACTACATGCACTTAATGAGTGACAGAGGTCTTCATCAATTATGTCGCTTGCCTTCTGCTACAACACAACAAGCGGACACTGCGAGACCCATTACTGTGATTTGCTCCAGAACATTGAGTATAGCCCAGGGACGACAGGTGTCTTTATGTTCCTAGCCAAGGACTTTCCAAGACCTTGCTGTTGTACGTGTACCAGGTACATACACCGTATTACACCAGTATTAAGTTACGAAACACAATTTAACAAAATTTAATGGTGCATGGAATGTAACGAATGGTTGAATTCAACAAACGGTGGAATTCAACGAATGGTGCCATTCATCTGATGTCTGTCAATCTGGCCCACGGCCTTCAGTAATGTAGTTAGAGTCAGTGAATGGGATCCTGGGGGAATGAAGTGGATTGGCGTGTTTACTGTAGATTTGTAACACCGTGTACACGCGGCTGTAAGTGGCAAGTGTATCGGAATACACGCAGAGCTGATTAAGAGCAGACAAGAGCCACTTCTACCTGTCCTTCTTTGCCAACGACAATTCTGGGGTGTGGAACGAGAGTGTGATTGTAACGTTGTTTTTCACTGCTGAACACAATGGACGTGATACGATTATGAAGTGCCTTTGAAGTTAGTGAAGTTATGAATGGTTTGCAGTCCTTTGCTCACACATTAGTGGACTTGTCAATAATCGAGCTGACGTCATCCGTGATGGATCAGAAGGTTTTGTCGCCTCGAGGAGACATCATTCCTTTCCTGATAGCAACTGTGAACACACGCACAGACACACACACGCACACGCACACACACGCACACACACACACACACACACACACACACGCATTATAAACAAGTCAAAATAGCAGTTCAATAGAAATGCGCGGGTAAAAGAAACCGACATTACGGCATGCCAGGCTACTACTTACTAGGCGTGTCGCACCCTACAAGCATATCACTCCAGTCCAAGACACCTCTTCGGTTGCTAGTACATCTATGTTAATGACACGTTGGCTGAGGAAGTGGTGACCTTCCAGCAGACTTCTGGCCTTAAAAGTGAAAAATGGTAGACTTGTGTTGTGACCTAGCAGTGCTAAAGGAAAGACCATATTTGGTCATTCCCGTGGTTTCACCTTAGCTTTACATTCGACTGGTATCACTCTGCGCGAAAGGGCAGGTGTGTCGATCACTGCCAAACATCGAGGGCGATGGGGGAGGGGGAGCGGGGGGGGGGGGTTCTGATTAATAACTGTGGAGGGACAAATAATGATGGTGCTGTGCCGATTTTGTTATTTGGTGTATCAGCCGACAGCCGTGTGAAGCACCAGAGCGTGTGTTACAAATGTATTGTACTCGTATTTGAATTTGTACTCTATTGTTTAATGTTAACTTGGGAATTCCCAACAGACCCTATGATCTACTTTCAGAGTGCACAAGGTATGCAGTGAGTTCGTGGCGAAATGAATAATAGGGGGTGGGAGGGTTTGTGTCGTTGCGCTAATACCACCACTTCGCTTTTAAATTAATCAAGGCTGAGTGTTGCACAATGCTATGAGCACATGGACAATTCATAAATAGAGTATAGATACAATACAAACAAAAGACTTGACTACAATGTATCCAGACATGGACATATCAATAGAAGTCGTGATTTAAAAGACTGGGCCGCTCTATTAATCTTATAAGAATAAAAGCATTTGATGATTCTTCCAAGCTTTGTGGTTCCATTGCAGCTGTGTAATAGATAATCGTGTTGTTGCTGATCCTCCACCATGTACATGTACATGTACATGTACATGTACATTGTACAATAATTATTGTAGGCGAGCTGGGGTACGTGTACTAGTATGTGCGTTTGACAGAACCTTCGCTAATACAATGTAAGTATGTGGATGTAGTGTACTAATACATGTATGTAGCTCTTCAATACTCTCTTCTAATAGCTCTCCAGCAGCCCAACACATATTCTTCATGACAACAACAATGCTACCATGGAACGGACATGCATATACACATGTACATGTATGTCATACCCTCTAAAGTTCAAGTTGAAGATTTAGGTGATTAAAACAAATATCACCTCCTCATTCATTCACCAGTTCTGTAAGGAAGAAGTACCATCGCCCATCGGACTACAT